ACTGTCATCATTAATGATGCACCAAATGCAACAAATAACATCTCTGATGAAGACCCACAGAATGCAGTAAATCAACTGATAACCCACTTCTCCTCGTGGAAAAGGCTTAAGATCTCAGTTGCGTGGTTTCTCCAGCTGAGAAAGACGTTGCAGTTGTTGAGTCAAAAGAGAAAATAAATACAAGCTTCTCTGTCCAGCAGTGGACTTGACCCAACTCAACAAAAGAACAAAGAGGAAGAGGACATGAAAAGATTCAGAGCCACAATGGGTGGTCACGTCTTATTTCCTGAAGATATTGATGCGGCAGAAAGTGTCATCATTCAGTACTGCCAAATGGACAAGTTTAGTGATGAAATCACCGCTTTGAAAAAGGGAACATCTGCAGTGAAGAAAAGCAGTCACATTTATAAACTTGATCCGGTGCTGAAACAAGGAATCTTGAGAGTGGGAGGTAGGCTTAGCAAAGGAGCAATGCCTGAAGACACAAAACATCCAGTCATTCTTGCTAAGGACCAACATATCGCCACTCTAATCTTATGCCACTTTCATGAACAGTTAGGACACTGTGGAAGAAATCACCTACTTTCCAGACTTCGTCGACAATACTGGATCACCAGAGCAAATGCTGCTGCTAGAAAGATCCTCTCTTCCTGTGTTGTCTGCAGACGATATAGGGGAAAGCTGGGTGAACAAAAGATGGCAGATTTGCCAAAAGAAAGACTGCAATCTGATCTTCCACCATTCACAAATGTGGGCATTGACTATTTTGGGCCGTTTGAAGTGAAGAGAGGCCGCAGCCTCATCAAACGCTAAGGAGTTATCTAAACCTGCATGGCCAGTCGGGCAGTCCATCTGGAAGTGGCCTATTCATTGGACACCAGTTCTTGCATAAATGCAATACGCAGATTCATTTCCATGCGAGGCCAAGTATCACACATCAAATCAGACAACGGAACCAACTTTGTTGGAGCAGAACGTGAGCTGAGAGAAGCTCTATCTCATTTGAACCATCAGAAAATTCAAAACTCACTGCTTCATTCTGGAGTGAAATGGAGTTTTAACACTCCAGCCGCATCCCATCATGGAGGAGTATGGGAAAGAGTCATTCGCATGGTCAGGAAAGTGCTGAACTCTATTCTTCATCAGCAACATTTGGATGATGGACTACAAACACTCCTGTGCGAAGTGGAAGCCATATTGAATGACCATCCCATTACAAAAACCTCAGAGGATCCAAATGATCTCGAACCCCTGACTCCAAATCACATTCTCTTGTTAAAAGGCAAACCTTCTCTACCACCCGGGCTTTTTGACAAACATGACTCCTACTCCAAACGACGATGGAGGCAAGTTCAATTCCTTGCCAATCACTTTTGGCACAGATGGATTCAGGAGTATGTACCACTGTTGCAAGAGAGACAACGGTGGCCAAAGGACAAGAGGAACTTTGTCACAGGAGACATTGTCATCGTAGCGGACTCTAATGCCCCCCGCGGATCCTGGCTGTTGGGCAAGGTACTGCAGACCTTTCCCGACAGACAAGGACTTGTGCGGTCGGTTAAAGTCCGGACGAAGTACAACATCCTGGAGCGACCAATCACGAAGATCTGTCTTCTATTGGAAGCTGAATAAAGACTGAAACCCAACTTCTATTATTGTGGTTACCAACCCTATTGGATTATCTACATGAACAATGAACATTATGGATTGAGAATACTGATATGGACTATTCTATTTGGCTGCAATGTTTTGTATGTTGTTGAATTGTTATGTTATTATACAGTAACAATTAGGAGCCGGTGTGTTGCAGCCAATTTGATGTATTTTAATATTTGTATATGAAGGTGCTGTGATACTATTGAATTGACCTGGGCATAGGTGGGGACTCAGCCAATTTCAGGGTACAGCCTACTATTTAGGGAGGACACAGGTGGACAGCATTAGGAATTGGGAATCACCAGAGGGAAGCCACACAGTTTTTCAACTGTGCGTGTTTTCGCTTATTTTCTGTTTGTTTTGAGTTCATTTCAGTTTATTTCTTTATCACAGTTAGTTGTTTAGTTATCAGTTAAACACCCGGCTCTTGTTTTGCTGTCATCATCCTGCAATCCAAATAAACATCTTAAATGCACTCAAAGAGAAGACCTGATTTGCTGTCAACACCACGCGTCTGGAAAAGCTTCACACCATATCCCTCACTGGCAAATATTTGTTGTTCGGTTGCCTTTACAGGTATAGTAACTATTGCTCTGATGCCTCTCCATATGGGTTTTCAAAACAACAGTTTCTGAACGCTTCACTCATCCCATTTTAACAAGACTTTGTAGCCAGAACTGTGTAACATAAAAACTATTCTAGACTCTCCGTCGAAGAAACCATCAGTCCTGTCAGCAAATACCCAAAAAACAACAGATTTACATTCAAGTGACAAAGCCCTGAAGCAACTGTAGGAATATTGTGATTTTGTCTGAAGCAGTTATAGAGCCATTACATTTACAGTGGGAGGAGGATTGGGTGATTGGACGGGTTGGCTCAACGAAACGTTAGGGTTGAATACAGACAGTCAACATTTTGTGGCCGTTCCTTAAACCATGGTAAAGAAGTTATTTTTAACCGAACCGCGTATTGTTAATGTGCCTGAACCTAATGGAACCTGACATCCTGCTGATATTTGCGACAGATCAGGAAGTGCTTGTACCCATTGCTCACAAGGATGTTGACCAATGACATAGTAAAGAGTAGTGTTGTTTAATTTGAAGAACTTATTTGCCTATTTAAATGTCAATGACAGAACAAGCAAACCATAGAAGGCAGAGACTTCCTTTGGTTTTAAAAACAAAATACCATGCCTTCCAATAAACACCCCTGGGCTGTGGGGAAGCAATATTTGTTCGTGCTGTTACTCGCAACCGATTTAAAGACTAGTACTGTTTTCTGATGTGACGCCTGGTTATGCTTTTTAAAACATGTTGTTATTGGTTTAATGCTTGGATAGGCTTGAAAAGTGTCAAAGAACGGTCATGTTTTGGGTTAAAATAACTATATGATGTAAAAATATATCTAAAAAAAGGAACTAATGAGGATTATCGAGCAAAATGCTTTGATTACCCATTCTTACACCCATTCATAGCTGTGTGAAAATACTTCTTTAAAATAATCGGTTATTTTTTATGCATTACTAAAAATGAATGATGCACTTAATTTCAGAGAAGACCAGTCCCAGAAAGTGAACTGTTACATTTTCATGTCTTGTGTTTACATCAGTAACTATTTGTACCTCTAGACTTAAAAAAAACAAAACCTGTTAGAGGATCAAACCATTCAAATTACACTTTTATTCCACAAAGCCGTTTGTACGCCTAAACTGATTAAATCAGAGGTTAAGATTTTGAAAGCACTGACCTTTTAAAATAAAAGTATAACATAAAACAAATAATATAAATATTTTGTCGAATAAAACCTCTATATGTTGTGGATTTTGACTGATGTATTTGCTATGACATCTCACATACTGCCTTTTTTCCCTATGATCCAGTTTAGGAAGTCTTTCTGTCAAAAATACCTATAATCTCCATCAGTCTCTTTGGGGACATGGGATCAGGTCATTGCTTTGTATTAAGCAGTAATCCTGGTCCCTAATACAGGGAGAGGTCCCTGGTGTCTGCGAGATTACTGACATATAAAGAACACATTTGTACAATCATGTCTTTGAGCTCAATACTTTTTTTATAAGAGTTACTTTATATGTTTGACACAAATCAGAACATGTTAAAGAATTGAACACCGCACATGTTTGTTAATGTTATATTTAGTGTATGAATTCAATTCAATGAATTTCAATTTCTCTGGCAGAAAAGTTAACTAGGTCAGATGACATTAGCTAACCAGACAACACTGAGAGAGGAAAAGGAGAGATGTGTGTGTGTGTGCGTGTGTTTGAATAAATAAAACTACTACATTTGTATAACAATATTCATATAAAATATAAGATGCGTTGCTTCTTCACTTAAGTATTACAATAAAATACTGCATAGATTTGGAGTAACTGGGCCAAATGACATGGAGTCCAAGAGTTTTCCTAATCCACTGATTATTTCGTACAAATATTCCTTTAAATGTCCCATGTCATGCTTTTCTGGTTATTACCTGTCCCCTTGTGTGTTATCAAGGTTTTCGTGCATGTAAACGGTCTGCAGAGTCACAAACCCTCAAAGTACACCCTGTAGCGAGCAGTGTTAATTTTGGCAGCTATTTTTGAGTTAGTTTTAGTCTTAAAACAAAAATGGTTATTAGTTTTAGTCCCATTTTAGTAATTTCTATCCTTCATAGTTTTAGTCGACAAAAACTCAAAACGTTTTAGTCTATTTTAGTCGATAAAAAATTACATTCTAGTCAACTTTTAGTCAAAATGTTTTCTCTCTTTAAACCAATTAAGTTAGGCAAATACAGGTTTCTGACATTGGAATCAAGGTGACAGCATCAAGTGTTGAAATCTGTAAAGCAACATTTCACTCTCTTAACACTTTACTTAGTTAGTTGGATAGCCTATCCCTAGACTCTCACATTGATGCAATACTGCTGTGTTGTCCTTGCTGATCCTCTAAGGTAAGGATAGTGCATACACATAGATACAAGTGGTACTGGTAACATAGTGGAATGTTCTTTACTCCAAGTCAAGAACCAAAACATTATTTTTTTTAGCCTTCTTATATTTATTTTCCGAAACCTCAAATAAAAGTGAAGACACGTATGCCCAAAACAGAGCAATTAATGATGAACAATGACATGACACCTGAAGTTTTGGATCACGAAAATTACAGACTTGAGTTAGCTCAGTGACTCAAACCTTAGTCCATTGTAGACTCTCTACATTCATCAATAGTGTGTCAGTAACTTGTCAACACAGAGGGTCATCACTCAAAAGATGCAGTGCAAAGCAGTAACTTGTATAAAATATTTTTATTAATTTTATTTATTTGTATAATATTGTAAGTGCATACATACATAGAATAAGATAATCCTTGAATAAACTTGGCCTTATAAACAATCAGAGGGAACCACCTCTGTAGTGCACTCTCATATCAAGTAACAGACAAAGTACAGACATCCGTAGTAGCATTAACAACCTTTTAGCCTACTGATCTGTATTCAGTTTGAGGAAAGCACTTCTCTCTAAAATGACTCTTGCTCTATTTCGACGGCCACGAGTGAGGTCACCTGTGATACTAAAAACTCGCTCAGCAAATGCTTGAGATGCTGGCATTGCCAGAAGATCTAAGGCAAGAGGTTTTAGGCTCTGATAAACAGAACCCTGTGCAGCCCAAAAGTCAAGAGCAGTCTCTTTGTTCATGGAATCCTTGAATTTCAGCATTTCCTGCCTGACACAGGGCTTTGAGAGGCTAGATCTAGATGGCCGGCTTGCACTTGCTTTTGACAGGAATCTAAATCTCGGCCGCTTTGTCTCTGGTAGTGGTACCTCTCTCCTTTCTTCTTCATCCTCATTGTCATCAGTCTCCTCCTCCCGTATTACTGGTGACACCATCTGAGCAATGTAATCTTCTGCTTTTCTCAGAAGCTCCTGAATTTGTACGTCGTCATGCTCATTTTCAACGAGTGCTTCGGGTGAGACTGTTGGGTCGAGGAAGCATGCTGCAGCAATGAGGGGTGTGAATTTTGTATCACTGGGATCAAGAAAGCAGTTGAAGCGTTGGCCCATGTTTTCCTTCATCGTCTGTGACAGGGAAGCTAGGTCCCTGTAGCAAGAATCCTGGGCGTCTGGGAACTCAGAGAGGTGAGCATTCAGGTCCAGGAGGGCGGGCAACACCAGGGATAAGGACATTGTGTCACTCTGGAGAATCTGGCTGTGCTCAGCAAAGGGGAGGAGCAGGTCTCTGAGAGCAGTGAGCTTCTGCCACTCACTTGGCAGTAGACAGTCCCAGCCCATTTCATCAGCTACCTGAACAAGGGAGTCCTTCACTTGGAGAAGGCGTGATATCATCAGGTATGTGCTGGACCATCTAGTAGGGCAATCTTTGACCAGAGTGAGTCCACTCAGCTTTAGCAGTCGCTGAATTGCCACAGACGACTTGCGGAAGAGCCGGACAAGTACTCGTATTCTGTCAAGGAGTGGTTTGACACTTAAATCTTTCTGGATCATCGACCACGAGTTGCAGTGTATGTACAACGCAGGGGGTCCTCTCTATGGCTCCGTACCTACATAGACAAACACAGAGAAAAAGACAAATACTTTATTAATCCTCTAGGAAATGTAATTGCCATGAGCAATACAATATAGAACGTATTAACACACATCTTTACATCTATACTTATTATGATCCATACCGTTAACCTGTCACATTTCTGGCTGTACATTTGGTTTTGTACCAAGTTACTGTTGATCTTTTATACTCTAAGATTGAGTTTATACTTGAAGTCTATATATTTTCACCATCTTACTTTTTACCACAACTGCTACAAAATAATTTCCCTCTGGGTAAATAAAGTAATATCTTATCTTAAATGCTAAAAGAGAATATAACCAAGCACAGCTCAATGACATGATCTATGTCATTGAGCCTGCTACTGAAAATACTGAAAATATTAACAGCTACAAACTAAAAGAATGTACATTCGGTCTTCGACAACCTCAGTCCTCCTCATCACTCTCCTGGGATTCTTCCTCAGAGCTGCTGGGCTCATCATGTACATTTTTTTTAATGCTGCAACCATGTTGCTTCCGTTATCAGTTATGACTGTCAGAATTTTGTGTTTTGGTATTCCCCAGTCCTCTGTGCATCGTTCCACACAAGTCTTTATAGACTCTGCAGTGTGTGGGTGGGAGATCTGGTCAAGTCACAACAATATGTGCTTCCCTTTATTCTCCTGAGTGCAAAAGTAACATGCACTAATTGCCAGGAATGATGCTGTAAATCCTTTTTTTGTCCATATGTCCAGCCCAATTGTTATTTTGCGTGCTGTGGCGAGTCTTTCTTTGAATTTTTGTTTTTCGTCAATGTAAAGCTTGTCAACTAAGTTGTTTTTTTTGGGTATGTTCAGCCTCTTATCGAAGGTCTCCATCATAAGGATGAAATCCTCATCCTCAACTGTACGGGCAGGTAGACCGGTGCGTCCAATCCACTGGGCAATGACCTTTTCTTTAGTGCCTTGTTCCAGCGAGTCTGCTTTGTAGTTTGGTCCTGAGGAGAAGAACGCTGCTGGGATAGTTGACTGTTTCCTCTGATTCTTTGCACCTGGTTGCTGTTTTTGAGTACGATCTAGGTGAGGAAAAATAAGATTGCATAATTACTCCCTATACAGACCTACAGATTAATTCCAATTAATTAAATGTAGGCTAATCCCTTTAAAATATGCCTTTGGTAATAGTATTATCATTAAAATATAGTATATCAATAATATCAAGTTTAAATTTTGAAGATTCTAATTATGTGATAATACAATACTAGCCTATTATGCCTATCTGGCCTTAGAGATAAGAAACCATACACACATATTTTCCAAATAAATGGCTGTTGTTAACTGTGATGGTTATTCTCGCGTCCAGGAAAGAGAAGCTTAAAAAGGAGACTAAATGGAGTCTCTGAGATGTTTTCAAATTGGTACTTTAATTAATAAAAAGGCGTGGTAAAGTCACAAACAGGATATTGTCCGACAGAAAAGCAGCTGTCTCTGGCCCTCGCTAGCAGAGAAAAGAGGCCGAACCGCCCAGGTGCTGCTCTTATATAGCTTCTGTAGGCTCCTCCCTGCGGGCCGGCCCTCCACATCTTAATGTCCGTTGTTACGTTTAAACAGAGGATTCAGGCATTGTACATTCAATACATACTTAAACACGACTCTTCTCCTCATATTGTCTTTCATCACTTTTCCTTTAACACATTCTAAACGTTGTAGTTAATATTCTAAAAAATACTTCACGGCTGGTTTGGTTTCTGGTCATTCCGGATGTTGTCACATCCTACCCACGTCTGTAAACAATAACTTTATTCAATATTCAGCAATAATAATACTTCTATAGTTGCAGTGTTAAAATCAGTAGGTTTGGGTGTGCATCACTCCATGTCATTTCGCTACTAAATTAACCTTTATAAGAAATGGTAAACTAGCCACATGCTAACCGGAGATGAAGGATTTTCAGAATAAAAGCTTATCTGGTTGTGCACAATAATTTTCTGGTTTTTCAGTATAAAACAGCATTTAAACTGAAGGTACATTTAAGGTACATTATGCCATCAAAACATTGATTTTAATTTCTAACAATCCCTCCTTACACACCTAAAAGGTGTGTATAATACTGAAATCAATGAGTTCTTCATCTGAACTCTGCATAGTACATAACTCATATCAAAAACATACAATCAAAATGGAATAGTGCGAATATCCTCAACTTTACAAAAATACAAAAATACTTTGACTGTGTTCAAACATAAAAGTTTTCCCTTGTGCATAACTTCTAGTGTTAACATTCAATATGGCTCTTCAAAATAGCAGCAATGGCTTGGTATCAGAACATTTCTTCCTCCCTCCTTTCACAGAAACCGTTCTTATAATACACTCAGTGTTAAGGCACTTGTTTTTACAAAGTGAAAATAAACTATTCATTTTAGAATTGTAATGATTCGAAAATATATGAAATCTACCATATAGAACAGTGAAAAATAATAAAAATGAAATAAACTATCTTGTACCAGTGTAATGTAATAATAAAACAAAAAATACACTATCTTGGAATAGTATAGAGTAATTAAAAATAAAAATACACTATCTTGGAATAGTATAGAGTTCAGTGAAATGGATTCACTCCATTTTAGCATTTTATTTTGCTCACTTCTTCAGATGATGTCATCATTTAAAGAGTCACATCGGCTGGACATTCATTGAACAACCTCATCTCTGAACATCCATATCATTTAACATCATTCAAACTAACTCGTCATTTTCATCTACATCTGTATACGGGGGTGGGCCGTCTTGTTCTACTAGCATTTGTAACTGTCTCCTCATGAGAAATTTACCCTCCCTCCTTTCATACCATTTAAGGTATGAAAGTAATATGTTCTCTAGAAGAGGCCGTCGTGATCAATCGGTATTTTAGGACATGGAATGAGTGCTACATTTAGGCCTCCCCTGGTTGCCCCTATGCTATCCTTTTACCCTGGAGCCTAAACTCCCCCTGGGACTGGTCTCTTAGCCCTACTGGCTTTGGGGTGGTCTGTTCTAATGCAGTGATAAAGTCCCTGAAATGGTGTGAAAACCGGTGGAATATCAATAACTCATTATACTAATTTATTTTCATTTCTGGTCTACTTAAATAACTATGCTAACCTCCTTAACAGTGTGTGGAACCTTGGGTGCTCTAACAAGGACTTCAAAAACAGAAGTCATTTCATTAATGGTTTGTAGTTCAATTCAGGAATTTTCACTCATGACAGATATGTTTCTCCTTTAAATAACATCTCTAAATGTCAGGTCATCACTGATTAAATGGATGAGCATTAGGAGGTGGTGGCACTTGTCTTTTAAAACTCATACTCTGGTGCCGTGCGCTCCCTCTGAAGCTGCAAGTAAGATTTAAAACATCTGCAGGGTGGGTTGAGCGACCCCTTCTCCCTGAACGATATTTGTTGTTGAAAATATGCACCATTAAAATGAGTGATCCAAGGCCCCGCATGTATTACTCCCAATTGTACTAGTTTTTTCAAAATTAAAATCTTCAATCGCTCTTTGCCTAGTGTCTTTTTAAAACTCTACATCTTGGACGACAAACAAATGTGGTTTCCACCTTAACAGTTCTCCTATTGTAATAACCATGCTACAATGGAGAAACCAATACTCTAGATTGGAATACTTTCTTTGGCTTGGTTCCAGCTCTACCTTTAACATTTTCCATTCAAATAAAGATTTGCCTGCTATCTATATTGTAACAAATTACATCTTCCCCAAATTCTCCATGAATAAGAATCTCTATAAGAATAATTTGTTTATATTATGAAAAGATTGAATAATATGTTCTACCCTCCGTGTGTTTTTAGGATTATTTTCTAATAAGTGTGTTTATGTGTAAACTCACTCACTCCTGTGTTCCTTCTCTCCCCCTCTGGTCGTCAAGCCACGACCCCCTCACGTTCTGCTGGCCCATGCCAACTCCTCTGGTTCTGTCTCCTCCTCCATCCTGTCTTCTCCTCAGTCCATCCGCACTTGGATCTTCCCGCTGTAATTCTTTCAGTGGCCCAACTGCTTTGCATTTCATCTCCTCCTTTTCAGTCTCTACGCTGTTGCATGGAGTGGTGTATTCTGGTCTCATGTCCCACACTCCGCTATTGTGCCAAATCTCGCGGCTCAGTTTGGAACTTCATGTCCTGTTTGAGGGACCGATGAGTTTGCCTCTTTGTCAGCATGCTGGTTTGGTTCTGGATGCCTCAGGTGGAGATGGTTCTGGATGCCTCAGGTGGAGATGGTTCTGGATGCCTCAGGTGGTTGTTGGTTCAGCTCGGGTTGTCTGTCTTTAAACCGGAGGAGGAGTCTCCTGTGGTGAGGTCATTTGTCTGAAGATGGGGTCGTAGCATTCTGACAGGCAGAGAGAGAGAGAGAGATCTCGGGAGGCATTACCTATAGCTAATTCTAACACACTGAGGTAAAATATATCCAATCCTTTCCACTCTATTTTCCTAATCTTACTATCTGTCTTAGATGTTAAATGTCATCTAAACCCAATTAATGTCTACTAATGGTTGTGCCATATCCCTAAACATTGTTTCCACCCACTGTTAACATGGCTACTCCAAATAACTCTTTCAGGAAACCATTTTCTTCTATAAATTAAAAATACCTACATGTTTCAAGCACCACATATTTCACACACTATAAAAGAACGTCCCCATATTTTCTCCATTACTTTAAATCTCACTGTTATTTAGAACATAAGTAACTTTTGTGACTGAACACATCTGCAATGTCGCCACAATCTGCTGGGGAATTTTGTTCATAGAGTTTGTACGTACAAAGCTGTACTTGTGGGTTAGTAGCCTGTTTCTACTGTAATCATTTTTCAATAATTGTGCTCAGTTCACCGGTCGGTTGTCCATAAACTTAACAGGGGTGTTTCTGGCACAGACTAAAACATGGATCCAGTGTATTTTTAGATTCCCCTAATCTGTAAATTCCCATCACCTACATATCCCAATCACTTAAACCCATCTCATCATTTGATACAAGAACTGCATATATGGGGGTGAATCATCTTGATTGTAATCGCCTCACCTTTGGGACCAAGTATTTCTAACTCCTCCTCTTGTTGCTCAGCTGATCTTTTGGCTCTGGGGATAAGTGAAAGTCTCTGAAACACAGCTGGAGTTTTGTTAGTGATGTGGGCATTCTCTATGAGTGGACTAATGGATCCATGTCTTACTTGATATTGTACTCCCCATCCAACCAGAAAGGTGCCAAGTGTAATGAGCACAATCAACAATGCTATTCTGACTCTTATCCCTAGGGGACCCCACAATAGCTTTGGCTTTGTTCTTGACATCATCTCTATTTTCTCCCTTGGTGTCAGTTACAGAATTTAAATAATGAGTACTATAATAACGTATACAAAACGTTGGACTCTTTTTCAGATGTAAAACAAAAATAGGTTTTCACTTTAGTGTACTATCTATAAAAATCTATAGACAATTCGTCTTTTGAGCTGTTTCTATCTTTATCTTATTTCTATTTATTGTTTTGTTCCAGCTCTGCCAAATCAGTCCTAACTCCCAATAATGTTCTGGAAGTTGCCAGTGAAGGGTGACAATGTGTGAGGTGGTGTCAATTTGCTCCTTTTTCTTTACCTTTAAACCGGAGCGCGTGTGAAGTTCGTTACAACTTCTCACTGTTCCGTCCACCGGGGATCAGCTCACTGTCTTTTGTGAACTTTCACCCTCACCCAAACACCTGGCCGAACAGGAGTCTCTTCTGGTGTCTCGTCTTGTATCTCTGTAGCTTTCTTAGCCTGTGTAGACAAAACTTAGATTATATTACTCAGAGTTCTGACATATTCATCACTTCTATTCGTCTAATATCCAAAACTGGACCACTCCCTCCTTGGAGGAGGCCCAAGCTTTGGCATACCTTTTGTCGTTATGAGACCTATTATTAACTACGTTATTATTTACTAACTACAACGTCACTGAAATCAACATATCTGTATAATCATGACACTCCCTCCTTTGAGCAGAACATGCTCAATTAATATTGCAATGATTACCCTATTCGGAACAGG